GTGCTTCTCCCTGCCTCCTGTGGTAAAGATCACTGGCGAAGGCGCTCGTTTGTCAAAATCAGGTGTCGCCCCTGGCTGTCAGGAGCCGCTGGTGTTCTCACCGAGCTCCAAAATCTCCCCAGGCTACAAAAATAAAAGCTGCTTTCCCTGGGGTCCCAAACCTGGGCTGCCGTCGTGCTGAGCGCTCGTGTGTGGTCTTCGCCTGGCAGCGGCGAGCGGCAAGTCCTACATCCGTTCAAAGCTGAACAGGGGGCAGTGGTCAAGCTGGGTGTGAAAGCGTGGGCCCCCGACTGAAGCGTAATCCATAAGCAAGTTTTAGCCTGCCTAAACATGGGGGAAGGGGCAGGAACTGCTGTTGATTTTCCTAGTGAAAGTCAGGCCGAAGCTGGACGAGGGGGCTCGGCTCAGCCCCCCCGGCGCGTCCCGCGCGCCCGTCCCCGCTGCCCTGCACGCCCTCTCGCTGACTCCCGTCCTTCCGCCGCCAGAAAAAACTGCACCGTTTCTGTTGTAGTGTTCTGACGGCTTCAAGGTCTGAGTAACCTTACCGAGGAATCAGCTCAGCACATGGGATAAGAGGGGCGAGGGGCCACTTTTTTCCCCATCATAAAAAAAGTTAGTAGATCAGCTGAGCCATTTCGTCTTGCAACACCCTATTTCACTTCCGAAATGAGTGAAGATGTTTAAGTTTATACTGAAGTAATGGAGGGGGAAAAATTGCCAAAATATAGCCATTGGCATAAGAGGCAGCTTGATGTCATGAAAATGCCTTTTAATTTCCAAGAAAGACTTCGCAACTCTTTGCTTTTCCTAAAGACCATACACATGTATTAATTCATCACTAGAAGAATGTAAAATTCATATTAAGGGTGGATATAGATAACAGACAAATTAAGAACTAAGACTGAGATTCCATCCACAGAATACTGTATTTTCTCTTATGCTTATTTGAATGTGTATATGCAAATGAAAACATAAGAGCTTTTTTGGATGTTTCAGTACTGGATAGGACTGCAATTCCAAATATTTTGGTGTTAGTTGTCCTTGCTCTCTTTCCAGCACACCTTTATGCTTTTTACCTGTAGATGTCAGGAGACCAGCATGCTGGTTACTCCACTCCAAACAGAGATGATGAAGAGCAAGGTGATGTAGCTGATGCAAAACCGGACAGAAGTAGCAGATTCTCACTTTTGGTAAAGTAAGTTAATACCTTTATTCCTGTTGGTGTTGTATCAGCTATGACGCTTCCCTTCTGATGGGATTTTGGTGTTCAGTTTGTCCACAACATCACAGATGGGTCTAGACACAGAGGTAGTTTTATGTTGTATAGGTTTAATATATTTGATCTCCACCCTAAAGCCAAACAGCAGTCAAGCTGCTTTGATTTACAGAGACCTAAAGTATGTCCCAGTAGCTTAATTTGGTAGTCAAGAGACCACTAAGTTCATTTAGCATCAGCTGTAGCCCCTCATCTTAAACATTGCCCTTTGGTGGAGCTGGGAATTAAATGTGCCATTAGTTATCTGTTTTAGTGCATTGAGCTCAGCTAATCTTCTACATATTGGAATCCCCTGCTGACTATTTAAGTTAGTTTAAAGCGTGGATGTGCCATCTAGGTTTTAGCACAAAGAGGCTTTACTGAGTCTAGAGATGTAACCAGTTACAAAGTAAATTAAAAGCCTTTCATTTTAAAGAGTAAGTAGTCTCACTGAAGCATAATCTTACTTTCGTTAAAAATATAGGAAGCAAGAACTATGGTTTGCTTGTCTGTACTCCTGAAAACAGTAAATAAATGTGATTGAAAATGCGAAAGATGAAAGGTGGACATGCAAAATTTGCTGTTGAATGTGAGAAATGACTCCTTCAGGTTGTGAACTTCCTGGATTTAGAGAGGTTTTTATTACAGGTGTTTAATTACAAGGACTATTATATTTACATAGAGATTTTTATTTTTTTACTGTTAAACATTCACATTCAAGTGAACAATCTGATTCAAAGAAATTGCTTAGAGAATATAATTTTATTTCTGCTGCTTATTATGAAAAAGTCTAATGAAGGTAACAAATCTAGGACTAATGCAGCTTCACTTCTCTTACAGAAGACTTTTGATGTGCTGTTAGGCAAAATCACTTGACTTTTTCTGTCTCTCATTTTCACATTCCTAAAATGTGGCTTGTGACATGTATGTGTATTAATTTTTTGCAAATTTACATCATACAAAAAAATTTGTTTCTAACTCTTGATAAACACTTTTCAAATATTTCTTCTAAAATTTATAAAATATGTGTTTTAATGTCTGAATTGGTCTTCATATAAGGTGATGTGCTAATACTATTAATAAATTATGATACTCACAGTTAATCATTCCTGAAGGAAAGACAAGAATCAGCATTTCTGTTGCCTTTTTTAAAAAGAAATTGTTCAAATAGTTTGACCATTCATTAGTTTGAGGCATTCATCTTTCAGGAACCCCTTGAATATACAATCTGAGACATTCTTTAGGAGTAAAAAAACTCAGATTAAATATATACAGAAAGAAAAATAAATGTGAGCTAATTGAGAAGATTCAACATTTTGTAGAAGAAAATCAAGTCTGAAAAATCCATCAGAGATTTTTGAAGAAGGTGATAATCGTGTAAAGAAGGATGAGCTGGTTGACAGAAAGTCTTAAAAATCCAAGCACACTGACAAAGTGTGGAGAAAAACATGGAAGGAATGCGAGAGAATAAAGGAAGAGGGGATATGACGGATGTCTAAAATCATGAGTGTCAAGGAGAAGGTGAACAGAATGATTGTTCATTGCGCTTCACATAAAAAATAGAGGACCTAAAATGAAATGTCCATGCAGTAGGTTTAAAACAACCAGAAAGATGTATTTTTTATGTAATGTAAATTGCTAGTGTAGAACTTAAAGCCATAAAGCAATGTAGCTGTCAAGAGTTTAGATGAGTTCAAAAGAGATTAGATGAATTCATGGAAGAAAAGCCCATTGGGCATATTGAGGTTAAAATCATAGGTGCAAGAAGGTTTCTGTGAGATTATATTCTGCGTCCAGCTTCTTTTCTTTGTTCTCTTGACACTTGCTACTAACCCCTACCAGGTACTATGCTAAAATGTACTTTGTTTTGGAACCTCTGTTACTCTCTGTCTGCTCTACTTTAGTAACATGAAATCAGTACTAATAAAAAAGGTGTCTAGAAAGCTTTAGATAGATAACTATAATTTTATGATGTGTAGATTTGTTTTAGCAAATCAGTGTTTACTAGCTGGGCAGGACTTTCAAGGAAATTATACAGTGTATTTCAATTATCATGGCTTAAATACATGTTGAGGCTCATAGGAGAACAGTTAACTTGAATCGTTAAATTAGGACATTCATTTTAATGTCAAAAGGAACAAAACATTGAGAAATGAATTCAGAGCCATGCAGAAAGGCCAGCGGCTACTTCCAGCTACTTCACAGCTCCAGTTCATTCTTGTCTTGCCATCACTGGGGATTTATGTAACAGGAGCAGTAAACGGAAATAAGTGAAAATCTTCCTCACTACAGCATATTTCTGTCTGAGAAGTCTGTGAGCCTGCCTTACGGAGGAGGCCCCGGGGCTCAGAACGAGCCATGGCGTGGGCAGGCTCTTCTCTCTGCCCCACAGCTTAGGAAATTCTCTTCTGTATGTTTCCTTCTCTTGGAAAAACTACAAATACTTACTTAATTTTAGTGTGTAAAAAGTGTTTGGGAGGAGAAGTGTTCACAGAAGGTCTGAATTAGCGTTTGCCTTTGTTTTGTTTGCGCTCGGGTTTTTTTAGCCAGTAGATGGCAGACTAGCATCACTTTTGTTGAATTCCAAAGCAAAGTTACTTTAGTGGAGAAGTTACCCAGAGTTGCAGTTTAGCAAAACACTGTGCTTCAGAAAGCAGAAATAGCAGGATACTGTCTGGCAAGCCTGAGCACAACACAGCTGCAAATGTCACAGATAAAAGAAGATTAGGGTGATGATTTGAAATGTGTATTTTAATTCTTTGTGTGATGATTAGAAACAAGTCCATAGAACTTTTTCTTTTCTGTTCTCTATGTGCTCCTGTAATATCATTTGAGGAATTGTCTTTAAAAATAGTCATACTTCCCTACAGGATTATTTAGTATCTTTATTTTGTGTCTTTTGTCTTTCATTGGGGCACTTCATTGGGCGATAAGAAACATGGTAGCCAGATATATTTTAGCATTCAGGTAACATCATGAAATAAAATAAAATTCTGCTTCTACAACTTTAAGTAGAGCTAGAATTTCTCATACTCATAACACAAGGTTTTTAAATTATCTATGTCTTAAAATTACCAGGGTTTGGTAGACTAGCATTTGCTCTCTCAACAGTCATGACTCTTGGTGGGCTTCAGTGAAGAATAATGCAGTAGAGGGTGAGTGTTAGTAGTATCTGGATACTACTAACAGTTCTTTTCTAACCATTTGCCTGTTGGTTACTTTTATCTTTTTTCTACTTCAGCCCTGCTATCTGTTTTACATTCAGTATTTGGAAGCATAAAACAGCATTTAAAACTATATGTAAAAATTTTTATTAATACCTAGTTATTATTGAAGCCCTTTATGCTTCTGTGGTGGCTTTAATTCAGAAACATCAAATGAATTATAACAAAACTTCAGTGAGGAATTTGAGAGACTTGTAGGGTATACTGACATATCGTTACCAAGAGTACATCAGCTGTTTAACAGTGCAAAGCGGCAAAATATCTAGGAAGTATTTATTTCTGCCAAGTCAGACCAATATAAAATTTGAGACTTCATTTTAATTAATTTGGAAGTCTACTGAAAAAATTGGTGCGTGTTTGGTCTTCCATAGTTCAGTAGTTAACGATATCTGCCAAGCTTTGCAAATTAGTATTTAGATCATAAAGGGCTGCAGGTGAATATGGCTTTTTTCATAGGTATGGTGTTTATTGAGGTTTTAAAGCATCAGACTAAGGGAAGTGCAGATGTTACTAAAGTAGTCTAATTTAATTTTGTGACTCAATGAAATCTCAATATAGCCAAATTTCTCTAAATAAGTGGCCTTATCTTTCAAAGAAGAAATACTCATTTTTGACATTCAGCCTTAAAACATCTCTTTGCATATGGGAAGGAAGAGCAGGGCTGAACTACTGTTGATGGGTTGTAAACATATTTGCGTGAAAGTGGATTATCCTTTATAACCCTCATGATGCTGGTAGGTTGTTAAGTTAGGACAGCACAGCACCTAATTCAGTGAGACCTGCGTCACTTCAGGAAGATCCCTGATACAGATTAATAACCACTTCTAATGACAGCTTTGGAGCTGTAACAAGACTGGAAAATTGTCTTTGTGTCAACCTTGCTCTTTTGTTGTTCTTTTATCCTTTGGTATTTATTTTCCACCCATGTTTGATTGTCAGCAGTTTCTTTTTATCTGGTTTGTAGCAAGGTATTTCACAGGTAGAACTGGCAGAAGAATAGTTTCACAGAGTGTATGTTTTTTTCCCCTCACATCTGCATACATTTTCCAGAGTTGCCCGTTTTATATTGTTTGGGCCATTTTGAAACACCGTGCCTGATCTTATAAATGAATTGCTTTATATGTAGAAAAGATACTGTTAACGTCAGCTCTGCCTGCCTTGAAACTGACGTGTTCAAATCCAAATGATGCCTTCAGTGATACCTCATCTGTTTTAACATAACTTTTTCAGTTCTGTAACCGGTTTTTCCGCCACCGAATATTGCAGGTCTTTTAAAAATAAACATCAGTAAGAAAAGTATCTCTTTATCCTTAGACTAGATAGAATAAAAATAGCCAAGTTACTTTGCAACAGAGAACAGCTGATGAATCTTTCATTATCTCTGGGGCTGGAACTCAGAGGTCTGAACTGAACTTGGTTCAGCCTCAGGTTTCCTTTATGGCTGTAAGCACCCCGTGCCTTGGTTTATCTTGTAAAGGTATAATCATCTTTTTTTTTTTTTTTTTTTACTAACTTCAAAGTATCCTGACTTTGAAGTTTACTAACTTGAAATCCTAACTTCAAAGTCTAGCACAATATCATTTTAATTTTGTTTGAAGTTTGTGAATTCTACCTTACACTAGCTAAATACCAGTATATATTCCCTCTACAGCACTGAACATGTAATTTCAAAAACAATCGGTTCAGGCATCTATAGTTTGTACTGCCAGTGCTTAT